CCAACACCCAGACAGGCATTGAATGATTATCACTAGCCACTGACCAGCGGGTAATAGTAAACAAGGGATTTACAAATCAATGACAGTTGTGCAAGCACCACACAATGGGGACTGCTCAACTCTACAACTCAGTTGCACAAGACCACACCAGAGGGATTGCTCAACCCTCTGACTCAGCAAGGCTCACCAAGCATGCCTGGGGAGTATCTTCCAGGTACATGGACTGAGGATATAAAATAGGGGACCCTGACATAATGCTTTATCCTTTCCGCCTCCCCCCCCCCCATGCTGGAAGCAACAAGAACATTGGGAAGACAAAGACTTGAACTGAGGAGAGTGGTCCCAGGCTTACAGGGGAAGCTGGTGTACTAAGAACTATAACCTACCTGCAACATCCAGGGGGATGAGAAAACTGTTTGATCCAAATACTTCCTAGTGGGAATAAAAAGCAGATGTCAACCCTACCTCTGTTTGTTGTACCTCAACCTCTTCTGATATGAGTAAAACAACAAAAAGTGAATACCTATGTCTTGTTAGCTTTGGGATGGACCAGGTGACATCTTTAAATTTAAGCTCTGTAAGGTAAAATGCATGCACACACTTAACTGAGTTCCTTTCCCCTTCATTGGACTAATCCATGCTTGCGTGGCTGGAGTCCCCCACCAGTCTTCTCCCTACTCCTGCCTACTCCTGCTGTTCATGGCAGGGGTCTCTGTCTTGGGCTCCTTCAAGATATCCATGGTGGCCTGCAAGGTGCCGGTGGGGTCTCTGCCAACCACATCATGCACTTCCTTGTAGACGTGTCAACACCACATTGTTGTGGTATCCCATATCTATTAGCTCTATGCATAGGTGCTGGCTTCCTCCTTTCCCTGGGGGTACTCAACCCCTGCTCCGCCCCATGCCCCGCCTCACTCCACCCCTTCCCCCAAGATCCCACCCCATCCCACCTCTTTCTGCCCTCACCCCACCTCTTCCTGCCCCCATTCTGCCCCACCCCACCTCTTCCCACCCCCGAGCATGCCCCACTCTCTTGCTCTGCCCCCTCACCCTCAGCACCTCCTGCATGCTGCTAAAATGCTGATCTGCGACGGGTGGGAGGTGCTGGGGGGAGAGGAGGAGAAGCTGATCCACAGGGCTGCCGGTGGGTGCTGAGCACTCACTATTTTTTATCCAGGGATGCTCCAGTCCCGGAGCACTCATGGAGTCAGAGCCTATGGCTATATGCCATTTGGGGACGTAGTTTTACTGAATCACTGTAAAGGAGAGCTTACATTGCTGGAGACAAATTTGTGTGGAGACACATACACACATAGCTTGATGCAAGGCAACTTACGGTGACCTAAATTTGTAGTGTAGTCCCAGCCTTACTTTAGTAAGTAGACCTACTGAAATCAATGGGACTATCTGTACAGCATGGACCTCAGCAAGAGCTACTGGTACTCAGCACCTCTCAGGATCAGATCCTGATAAGTGTTGCCAAAATTGTAACAGAAAAGGATGGTATCATTGAAATTGAAACAATTTTCCACCGTTAGTTTCCTAACAACGTTTTGTGAAAGTTCACGAAATTGGCAGAAGGGCTGCTACATCCAGACTTAGAAGGATCAATTAGTGAGATGGATGGCTGATTGTTCTGCATTACATTCCACTGGATAGGTACAGGACTCAGGCCTTGAATAAATGTTGTGACATGATAGTACTACAGGAAATGCAGTTAAAACAAGAGAGCTTTTTAGTGCCACTACACCTTCTAAAATATAGCAAGGAGGGCAGGAGTTTGGAGCTGCAACTGACAGAAGTGCAGCCTGCAACAGAGCTAGTTATTGAGCAACCTAATGAACACAGCTGGCCTGTAGTAGGTTGCCTGACTGGCTCTAATATCTGGGGAAATTGACAGTCAAGATAAAGCAGCAATTAACTTTTTGTCAATTGTTTTTGTATGTATCTCAAAACTACCCTTCAGCTCATGAAGAAAAATATCCACTCAGATCAGAATAATTCTCTGAGTAAGTGAACTGATGTCCTTTATTTTCCAAACAAGAGCTCAGTCTTGCAAATATTACTTGTGTGAGTAAGGATTTGCAGAATCAGTTTATATGCCTGAATTGCACTGTATTCTTTTGTCCTACCTGTGAGTTGTATTACACTTCTTACACTGTAAACACTGAGATATTGGTTTAAACACTCCGGCTGACTGTGAAAAATGACTTTTAATCATTAGCATTCTTTGGAGTATCTGTTCAGCAGACTCAATTAAATATCAATACATATACATCTTCCTCTTGGAAATAGCTATTTACTTCATGTTATAAGTTGTCAACAACATCAAGGCATTATAAAATAATAAGCCTATGGTAATTTTGTTAATATTTCTTAAACAAATAGCAAAATACTAAGCTTGGTTAATCACATCCTTGATATTGTACCTTTCTGAGTAGTATAGACAAACCAGACACAGTGATTAACATTCAAATTGTAACTGATTCCTTGAAGAAAACATTTTTGCATTTTCAATAAACCTGGACTTGCAGTCGGGACAAATTCTCACTGAAATCAGGCAGACTTTCTCGTAAGTAAGGACATGGCTGAGTAACAGAACAGGAGATGTGGTGTTAAACTTTAAACAATGGAAAAGACTGAGATTTCCAAGTATTGTTAAAGAACAAAGACTCAGTCATCTTTCAAAATAAGAACCAGACCCTCTTCCCTTTGAAGTTAATAGGAGTTTTGCCACTGATTTCACTCGGAGAAATATGGCACTATAGTTAATACATTAACACACAACACCTAGTGACTAGGCTCTAGAATGAAAAAGGATCATTTGAATCAGGGTCCCAGAAATGAAATTATTGGAGCAGGATTTTTAAATATAGTAATAGTTAAACTTAAAAAAAAAGAACGAATAACTGTGTCCCTTTCTGCTAAGGGGAGGAGGTTGGAATGATAGTCTGCAATCTGATTGAAGAGGAAGAGAATCCCCCTGAAAATTAACTGGTGCAAGTAATGTCTTAAATAAGAGCATGCAAAAAGTTGCTCCTGGTGGTTGTTTGTGTTGTGGTAGTGCCTAAATGCCCCAGTCAGGACCAGGCCCCTTGTGAAAGGTATTATGTAGACAGGCAAGAAGAGGAGAGCTACTGCCCAAAGATTTTTCTCATGGGGGAAACCTCTTCCCAGCCTCCACCCCATAATGGTTTCTTACGCCAAAGAATCAATGCAGGGCTACATTCTGGGGGAAAATTCAATGGGTAAAAATTATTCCATGTGAACCAAACCATAGGTAGTATATGGCCTAGGCCAGGGACCCACATGATGTAGCTATGAAAATAATGTGAAATATAATAAAGCAATATTTGATCCCAAAGGTAAGAATTTTTGGTGAGGTTCTTCTCCCTCAAGAAGACTTGAAAACACTGCTCTAGGGCATCTTTTTTGCATGTATGGACCCCTAATGTTGAATGGAGGTGGACCCCTTTGGAAATCTTAAACATAGAGTGCAGCCCCCCAGGGGTCCGGCCCACAGACTGAAAACCACTGCCCTAAAGCTGCCCACTTGGAATCCTGTCGAGCAAGCCCCTTTCCGGCTAATTGTAAGCGGACTCTGGGCTTAACTATGGAGCTTGTCCAGTGCAATTGCAAAGGTCTGGGATTGAAATTCCCGGGACTGTGGACAGCGCTCCTTTCAGGCTGAGTAACAGAAGAGGACCTTTTCTTCCTGCAAAGGCAGGGATCGGAAAGATCTCTTTCCTCCTTTGCACAGGTACACCCAGCTTGGAGTGGGCACAGCTGAAAACTGCAGTCACCCAGCTCTCCTTGAGGCTGCAGCGTGGGGACAATCACATTCAAATAGCTTATTGGCTAAGCGGGTTCCCCGGCTCTGTCCTTCCCTCCTTCCTTACTGAGAGGGAAGAGTCTCTGACATGCAGAAATATTAGTAACTGACCACTTCCCCGCTCCGCCTCCATCAATCCCATTCCTACGGAACAAGCAAAAGAGAACGAGTTAAAAAGCCAGAGGTGGGTTTAGGAGAAGACGGGCTGGTTAGGCTTCCCTGGGAGGAAGCCCTACAATGCTAACAAGCAACTGCCCCTTCTATTTATTTCATGCACTTTGGGCTAGATCTTGCAACCCCTACTAATCCTTTAGGTGGCTATTCCAATGACTAAGGAGGGCGATTGTACGTTTTGACGGGAGCGCTGTCAGCCAGAAGCTCCAGGCCTCCTAGCTTGGCTCGCTCAATTCAAATGTAGCTTGTGATCGCTGCTGTTAAAAAAATTCCCTGCCGTTCGGACAGCCCATGGCGAATAGCCTTTTGCAGCCAATTTCACTGAAGGTAGCAAGTTCCTCTTGCAAAAATTCCAGCCTGAAACTGCCTTCCGCCTGCAGAAACCATCCTCTTTCTGCCGTCCCCAAAGCCTTCTGCTTACCCCCTTACCACTCCTCTAGCGGGCAGGATAAAAAGGACACCGCTCTGCCTATGGAGGGCTCGAGTCCGAAGGGAGACAAAGGTTAAGACGGCAGGGTAAATGCCCATTTTAGGGGAAACTAAAGCGGGGACGTGGGGAAGCAAAAACGAGCTCTTAAAGGTGACCTTTTCCTTTGGCTAGGGCGGCTACGGCGCGGCCTTTCGCCGTCCGGCAGCGGATCGGCGGGGAACGCAAGGCGGTCGCATTTCGCACCCGCACACGCTGCGGCGGTAGTGACAGCGGCTTTCCTCCGGGCAGCAGCTTTTTCAGGGGCTGGGGCGGGAGGGAAGAGAGCTGTGGCTGAAGCAGGACCCTTCGACAAAGGGAGAATTGCAAGACTGAAAATCGCTCTGTAAACCAGCAAGAGACTCTGGGGCCTCCCTCGCGGAAAGCGGCGGGGCGGGGGCAGAGATTCAAGGGACGCCCGCCAGTGTCCGAAGCGAATGGGGGGGGGTGTGTGACTCCACTTCCCCCAGGGGATGCGTGAGGAGCCGTGCAGACCTTCCTCTTCTTCCTACTGAGGTCCATGGGGCGGGGGGGGGGGGGGCTCTGCAGCCTCTTCAAGGATCCCCGGATCCGAGCGCTGTTGCTGGCCCAGCCCCTCGGGGTGGCTTACAACTCGCGGCGAGAGGAGCGGGGGGCGCAGGCTGCAGCAGGAGAAGGGGTGTGGGGAAAGCTGCAACTTACGTTCAAGAAGCACAACCTCCCTCAGCAGCGAGGACCCCCTAGGCGGCACCTGGACTGCAGGTGAAGAGCAAAAGGCAGGGGTGGGCCGGTGTCACTGGGGGACTGGCACTCTCAAGGACTGTCCCCGGAACTAGCCGCCCGCCAGAGGCCTCTATTGAAAGCCCCTGCCACCGGCTGAAACCTACAGCCGCCCGTTGTCTGCCGCGATAACGACAGCTCCCGTTGGAAAATCAAACCCCGCTCTCCCCCAAGGAAACTCCGCTAACTTCGCTGTCGGGTCAAACCCCTCTCGCGCCCAGACCCCCCAGCCCCTGTCCCCTTGCAGGGATGCCAGGCGTGTATGTGACGGGAAAGTCTCGCCTCCCGGCCGGGGAGACAGCGATACCCGTTCTTCCTCCCACCGCTGTTTACACGGGAAAGTCTCTCGCCCAGTCTCTCTCCGCGGGCGCCTACAAGCTGATGCGCTGCCCGGGGAGGGCTGAGGCCGGGGGGAAGCAAGGGGACAGGAGGGGAGAGCTGGTGCTGCCGATCTAGTTCTCCAAGCAGATGGTGGAGAAGCGGGGAAGGACGTGGGGGGAGCAGATAAGACGCGGGGGGGGGGGGTTGCTGCTGCTCCAGTCCCCGGAGGAGGAGGCGGGATGGGGGACAGGAGTCAGAGGCTGGTGGGGTGTCGCTGGTCCAGCCCCGGAGAAGCGCGGCAGGCGGCTCTCCAGGCAGCTGGGGGAGGGAGAGGATAGCGCCCCCAGCAGTGAGGCCAGTCAGTTTTCAGAGGCGTGCTGGAGGGGTGCCCGGGATAGGCTTAGCGTAGGGGGGCTGCGGGGGCTGACAGCCGCAGCGCTGGGAGGAGGACGGGCTCCGGGGAGGGAAGCCAGGGGCAGAAGCTGCGGGCGGGGCGATGGGGGCAGCCCGGGCCTTGCTGCCCGCGGAGGAGGCGGGCGGGGCCGGGCGCTGGGAACACCCCGGGCCGGGCGCTGCGGGGGCAGCGCTCAGCGCGGCGCGGCGCGGAGGCGGGCGGCCAGCAGGCAGGCCAGCACGATGCCCACGCCCTGCAGCAGCGCCAGCCCCAGCGCGGCCGTGGCGATGTAGAACAGGTTGTCGCTGAGGAAGCCGGAGACCTTGGCGAAGCAGCCGTCGCGGTGGATGCCGCGGGCGTCGGGCGGCAGCGGGCTGTGCTGGCAGCCCCGGCGCGCCCGGCAGCAGCTGCCCGGCACCGAGCCGTTGCGCCCGGGCTGCGCCAGGGACCAGGGCGAGGCGAGCCAGTCGCGGTAGCTCTCGGCCCCGCAGCAGTCCAGGGCGCGCTGCAGGGAGTCCAGGGCGTCCGCCTTCTGCTCGTCCTCGCCGTAGGCGCGCACCGCCTCCCGCAGCCCGGCCCGGAAGCCCTCGGCCAGGTCCCTGCGGTAGAACAAGGCCGAGAGCCCCGCCGCCAGCCCGGCCGCCAGCACCGCCAGCTGGAAGGCCGCGTAGGTGCGCAGCAGGCAGCGGTGCTCGGCGGCGGCGCTGAAGCAGCCCAGGAAGCCCCAGACCAGGACGGCGGCGCCCGTGGCCAGCAGGATGAAGGGGGTGTTGGGGTAGTGGTTGGCAGACAGCACCAGGTAGCTGCCCAGCGAGATCTTGGCCCAGATGCCCAGGGTGAGCATGGTCAGCCCCGCCGCCCAGAAGACGAAGCTGAAGGCCATGAGGGAGAGCTTGAGCAGTGCCATGGTGGCCCCCTCGGCGCTGCGGGTGGCCCCCTTGGGTGCTGTTACCAGGTGCTGCGGCTGGTGAGGAAGGGCACCCTGGAGAGCTGGTGCTGTGGGCGGCTGGATGCCACCCTTAGCTAATGCCCCTGCAGGGCGCTGCTGGGTGTCCAGCTGGGAAGCTGCCTCTGCAGGGTGCTGAGCCGGGTGTCCAGCTGGGAAGCTGCCGCTGCTGGCCGTCCAGGTTGGGTGCTGCTGGGTATCCAGCTTGGAAGCTGCCCCGGGTGGTGACGAGATTGGGGGTGCCCTTGGGTTCTGCAGCTGCTGGGTGCTTCTGCCCCCACTGGGTTTCCAGGCCAGTCGTTGGAGAAGGGACGTTCTGCGGCTCTCTCCCGGCTGCAGCGGATCAGAGTCTTCTTCCTCCTCTTCACTGCGGGATGGGTGGCCACGGACGCCTCCTGCTACTGCTGGCACTGCCAGCGGCTGATCCCCGTGGACAGAGAGTCTCCGTGGGCAAACTGCTGCCCTGGGTAACGAGCGGCTGGGTTTGTAGTAAAAGCTGCGCCCGTCACACTGGAGGATCCCCCGCTGGGAGGAGAGGACCACCTCCTCCCCGAGCTGTCACTCAGCCCTCCAGAGGCTGCTGCTGCTGCTCCAGCCGCGCGTCCTCCCGCCTTGGCATCAGGGCACCAGCTGCTAAGTCGCTGGTCATGGTCGCCGCCTTCCCGTTTAGAGCAGGTGTGTATAGTTCTGAGACCGCTTTTCAGTTAAGTCCTACACGGCAAAACCAGTGGGCACAGCACAGATGATTTCCAGGGAGGGCTGGCCGGGAGTCCTCACCTGGAGAGCCAAGCAACCCTGCTCACCTGCGTATTTAAAAAGCTGGTGACAGGGTTGTCTTTCGTTCCCTTTCTCTCAGTCACTGGTAAAATTCCACAATGGAAACTACTCCCATCGCTTGTGTCTCCCACATCAAAGCCCAGCAGATGATTTCTGGTTCTTCTTGGGAGCTAGAGAAGTATCTGGTGTATAGGGGAGCCTGCAATACTGTGTTATGAAGAGGAATAAGAGCCTTGTAATCAATCCCTCCCAGCCAGTTTTGCTTTCCAGCCTACACATCAATCCGAGAAAAATGCTGTAGAAAACCAGGCTACAGCTTTGAAATGATAGGGCATACCTGTTCTAAGCAACTACCTCTTCCCTTTGGTACCGCTAGTGCATAGCAAGCAATATGGGATTTTGGAAGGGACAAATAAACGAATTCTTCAGATCTCCCTCCATAGATTTATGGTGCAATAAATGGAGGAGTATATGTCAGATCGATTGTTTCCTCTCTGCCTTTGAACTGCACTGTCAAATGAAAAGGTTCTGCTGCTGGAACCACAAGATTAATTTTTTTCAGAATCTACAGTGGTATGGGATTACATTCAGCAAAGGAACTATCCCTTTGTAGTTACTGGTTCTGATTTTAATTCTAAGCACTAAAAACAGAGGCCTAATCCAAATAGTTTTAAAGAAAACATACAAATAATGCATTATAGTGGGTTTTTTTTTCATTTTATTTCCCATATTTGATCAAACATAGGACACTTCCTAGAAACAAATCCTAAAGCCATACAGTCAAGGAGAACATGATTTATTTACCATAGAGTAATTATTAGGTGTACAGGAAATCTTTCTTCCTGTTTTCCCTTTGCTAAGCATTAACTTTATTTACCTGGAGATAAGCATGAGCAATAAGAGAAAAAAAATAGTTATACACGAATGTTCATTAATGGATATTATTTGTACTATAGTAGCACCTAGAGGCCCAAGTCAGATGGGATGCCATGATGCACTTTACAAACATAGCAAAAAAAACACTCTCTGCCCCAAGAGTTTACAATTTAAATAGGTAATGCAGACAAAAGGTGAAGCAAGATCACAGACAGCTGGGAATAAAGCCCAGTTCTGCTGAGTCCTAGTCCAGTGCCCTGTCCGTAGGCCCCATTGCTTCTTAGAAATTAGTGATTCATGGAACTTGAGCCTGAATCCGTTTCTTCTTAATGTGGTCTGGCAAAAACATACAAAGTATGTGACAATCTGTTACTTGCTCTTTTATTTAGGTTCATCACAGTGATATCAGTGCATTGGATACAGATATTCCTCAGGTGAATTGCGAGACATAAAACTGAATGCCAAGTGCCTTCAGGCAGAGAAGTGTCTTCTATCTCTATCTTGAATAATTTCTTATATTACGCTATTACTTTTACAAAATGTTTATTACCTTTTTAATAACAGTTGGCAAAAGAATCCTGAAGTGTACAATTTTATTGAGAGTCTGCACAGTTACAACTTTTGTTAACCTGATTCCTTCTTCCATAATGTAAATTCTGGTCCTGATTTGTCCTCAATTGCACCCTAGGTTAATCAGGAATAGTTCCACTGAAATCAGTAAAAATAGTGTTTGTCAGTTCTTAGATAACATCAACAGCCTTGGCCAGAGCTGGCACTTGGTTTATCAGTGTCACACCCCTAATCTCTAACATTGACACAGACATGAATCTCAGAGGAATATAGAGGATTTTCAGCCTCTAAAGTAGAGATTACTCCTATTCCCCTCCTGTCTGCCTGGTTACACCACAATAGATTACACTATATAATGTCTAAACTTCTCCTCATGTGTCAATGCCAGTATCCACAATTAACTGTAGGAGGTCATATGCCTGACAGAAGCTACATGGATATAGGCTAAGTATGTCTGAAATCTCAAAACTAGAGGCTAAAAAGAGCAGGTCCTCATTGACATAACTGGAAAAAATACAGTTTAACCTCTCAATAAATACATAAATCAACCCTACCACAGTTGGTAGGTGCTTAAAGGCACCATCACAAGGATCAGCATCAGCTATGCTTTCTGGACAAAAAAAAGCATGGTCCCCCCCCTTCCAGCCAGCTGTACTGGAAGAAAAAATCTCATCCTTGGGGCAGGGAGTAGCAAAAATTGAGCCCTATTGGCCAGAGCCTGGGTGTAAATTGGTGTATTTCCATTGACAATGGTATTCAGCAGTAGAGGAGCAATGGAACTACACGCATTTACACCAACTGAGAATCTGGTCCTTCAAAGTGAAATAATAAAACCATTTATGATCAGAATATCCTCTTGTCCTCCAGGCTTTTATACGGTCAGAACCAAAGAGGTATATTTTAAACGGAGAGGAGAAAAGGCAGGTAACATTCAAGCTGACGGGAGAAATAAAGAAATAAGAGACACTGCTACTATTAGAGCCATCACATTTCAGTTCTCTTCTGATGAAACCAGAAGATACCTGCAAAGAATGGAAAGAAAAGGACCTGGGGATTACAGTGGATGAGAAGATGGATATGAGTCAACAGTGTGCCCTTGTTGCCAAGAAGGCTAACGGCATTTTGGGCTGTATAAGTAGGAGCATTTCCAGACGATGGAGGTATGTGATCTTTCCCCTCTGTTTGGCACTGGTCAAGCCACATCTGGAGTATTGCATCCAGTTTTGGGCTCCCCAATACAGAAAGGACGTGGACAAATTGGAGAGAGTCCAATGGAGGGCAACAAAAATGATTGGGGGTTGGGGCACATGATTTACAAGGAGAGGCTGAGGGAACTGGGCTTATTTAATCTGCAGAAGAGAAGAGTGAAGGGGAATTTGATAGCAGCTTTCAACTACATGGGGGTGGGGGGTTCCAAAGAGGATGGAGCTAGGCTGTTCTCAGTGGTGGCAGATGACAGAACAAGGAGCAATGGTCTTAAGTTGCAGTGGGGGAGGTCTAGGTTGGATATTAGGAAAAACCATTTCACTAGGAAGGTGGTGGAATTTCCATCCATAAAGTTTTTTAAGGCCCGGCTTGACAAAGTCCTGGCTGGGATGATTTAGTTGGTGTACGTCCTGCTTTTGAGTAGGCAGTTGGACTAGATGACCTCCTGAGGTCTCTTCCAACCCTAATCTTCTATGATTCTATGAATGTGAAACTTTCTACATGATACCTCCATAGGCATTGATTCCATGGGTGCTCCAGGGCTGGAGCACCCATGGGGAAAAAAATTAGTGGGTGCTCTGCACCCACCAACAGCCAAACTCCCTTCTCCCCCGGCTCCACCTCCTCCTGCCCCTCTGAGTGCACTGCATCCCCGCTCCTCTGCCTACCTCCGAGCGCTTCCCCCCTGGCACCACCAAACAGCTGTTTGGTGGCGTAAGCATGCTCAGGAGGGGGAGGGGAGGAGCAGAAACATGGCATGCTCATGGGAGGAGGCAGGGCCAGGGCGGGGATTTGGGGAAGCGGTTGGAATAGGGGCAGAGAGGGGGCGGAGTGGGGCAGGGACTTTAGGGAAGGGGTTGGAATGGGGCTGGGGAAGGGAAGGGGTGGGGCAGGGGCAGGGCCTCAAGTATGGGGCGGAGCAGGGGCAGAGTGGGGTCAAGCACCCAGGAGAAAGAGGGGAAGTTGGTGCCTATGGATGCCTCTGTCTATCATGTTTAGAGGTTATAAACCACTCTCATGTTTCCTTGCTGTGATGAGAACTTTCTAGTGGAGACAATGATTATAGCTACAATAATAAATGTAATGAAAGATTAAATGGAAATCCAAACAAATGGTAACAAGAGCCCCCATCTCAGTTTTGAAATAATTTTATTTCTAGACTGTAAATGTACGTATTTTTCACACAGGGTTATTTGTTTTGCAGCTTTCTCTGTCAAGAGCTGCACAGTGCTAAGAAGAGCAAAGGAGAATGGGGGAAAATATGGGTCTGTGCTGGTATCATTAGCAAGCATGACTACCATGGGTCAGTGGCTGAGAAGAATGCTCAGCGGGTGCCATAGGTAGAAGCAATATTGGCTTTAGGTCCCTAAGGCTAGATTGTTCCTATCTCTTGTGTAAGTGCAAAGGGAGGAAGGAAACAAGGAGCCTTCCCCTGCGTTGGGCCATCTGTGCAAATCAGAGATTATGACAATCCCTGCACTCTCTGGACTGTTATGGCTTCATTCTACCCTGTCCTACTACAGCAAAGACTGCAAGGGTGGCCACGTGAAGATGTGAGCATCATGCTGCATCATCCTAATGAATGGTGCATTGTGCACATATGCTTTGTGAATCAGCAGACTCTCGAATGACTCAAGCATTCAGGGCCATATACAATTGACATAATCTAGCCCTGACCCTCTAGGAAATCAGATACTATGATACCCAAATCCCAGAGCTCCACTTTACATAGGTAAAGTGGGCAAAGGTGGCTTTAGGTTACCATTGCATTCCCCTGCTTCCCAAGGCATCTGGAGATGAAGCAGCCACAGAAATGCTCTAAAATACTCTGGATTGTAATGGTGCCACTAGAAGCTCTTATGCCAACTATAGAGCACTCTGGCCACACCTCTCCCCCACCGTGGCAACTTCTGGCTCAGCCCCTATGCTGGAAGGTGATTTATAAATCTGTAGATTATAAATCTGGGAGAATTCTCACCTGCCAGTGTAGGGGAGTTTTCTGGCCCCTTTGCACTGCTAAGAGGCACAAATGGACCATGAGACTCACCGGTATTTAAGCATAGATAGAGAGTGTCAAATCCTCATTGGCAGTGGGT